GTTGGAACTAGATGATAAACTATAAGGTCCCTTTCAACCCAAAACTTTCTATGAGCAAGTAAATCTATGATTCATTTGGTATTCGGCTTTTCAAAATCCTAGTAGTTCACCACTCCGATCATTTTCAAAAGCAAGATATTCTAGACCAAAATTTCTCTTTTTTTAAAAAAGGGCAGTCTGAAATGGTATTTTAAAAATTCAGATAAAATCACATACTCATGTGAGACTCTTGTGGGGTGAGGTATTAGTAGATTAAAGTAGTTGGTTGGAATTGTGAATGACTAGTTTTGGCCACTGGCTTTTCCACTGAGGACAGTTTTCAGTGATGGCAGTAAAAAGAGAGATTAATAAACTGTTTTCTTCTTGTTTTGCTTATGCAGACTGTAAGACTGGGATTGTCTTGTACTGCTTTTCTGCAGTGGTACTACAGTTGCAGTTGGTAGCTGCTCCTGTAGTACACCGTCCTGGTTTTAGGAGTATGAAGTCTTACTGTGGACTGTATTTGTGAAACTTGCACTTGAGTGAGAAGTATCTTCTTCTTCTTTTTTTTTTTTTTTTGGTAGGATGCTCTGGCAGCTTTGGAAACTCCGAGAGGTCCTGATCAAAAAACCAGGAAACTGAGCACACCTCTCTCTGAAGTCATCGGCAGAAACTTGAAATTGGCACTGGCAAACAGCACAAGGAATACAGCAGCTCTTACTGCCAGCCCTCAGTTAACTGCTGCACAGTCAAAAGTGGTAGGAAATTTTGGGGTTTAGTTTCTGGAGCATAGCTTTAATTAGGAAAAGGCCATATCTTTTTGTGATTTAAGTTACAAAGGAGTTCTTGAATTGTTATTTGTGATCTATCTGAGTACAAATCCATATGATTATGCGTTCTTCAATGACAGTTAAAGGAAGGTATGATGAAAGAATTTCCTCATGGAAGGCAAAGAATTTTAAACTCTTCTTCTACTCTCTGTACTACTAAGTGACATGGAATATAAATATGTACCAACTTAGACTTTGTAGTATTGGAATGAGATGATTTTGTCCGACTTAAGAAATTCCCAGGCTCCGACTGAACAGGGTTAAGTATTTTGTCTTGGACTGAAGTTAGGAGTTCATCTTTAATGCATGTGTCTTCTTTTCTTGCCTTCCTCTTTAAGGCGCTCCTTCTTACTAGGAAGCACAAGATGTGATCAGTTTCTTACTTCTTACAAAGACATACTATGTTATTCTTTCTTGCAGTCATCTTACCTCTTCAGTCTAATCCACCCTAGTGAGAGAAAACAAAAAGATGTAAGAGGAAAGGGAGCATTTATGTATGGCTTGCCATGTTAGTACCAGTTACTGTAGAGGAGGGGCAAGAAAGCTAATGACCTTCAGAAAGGGAAGGCTGTCGCTTCTTATTTTGTAGCTTCTTATTCTTACTTTTCTCACTCCAGGACAGTGAAATACTACAGTGGCATCAGGTTTGATAATTCCTTAATTTCAGTGTTCAGGAAGTGTTCAGTCTGTGGTGAGAGGAGCAGAATATGTTCTCGGAAGATTGGCTGAAAGTGAATCTTTTGTCTTGGGATTCCTAGTGTATGGCCTGATAACAGTGCTGGGTTTTGAGCATGGAGTTTGGGAGCAGCAAAACCAGAGGAAGTGTATTTATCTTACCTTTGTTGTTATTACATGTTTTTCTTTTATATTTAGTGTAGCATGTAGTATTTTTGTTATTGATACAGAAACCTTCCAATAGTGACTGTCCTGTTTTTGTCCCTGCTGCTTGACCAGGAAGAAGAGCCCAAGCCTCTGGCCGATGTTGTGATATATGTTAGTAAAAAACTTGCTAAGAGGCAAAGGGAACTGAATGCAGTAGCAGCTTCTCTTGGAGCAGACTGCAGGTATCAACCAATACAAATGGCTTTTAACCTTCTGTACTGATGTGATCTGAAATAAATATGAGTCTTCGCATTCTAATATGCCTTTTCCTATAGTTAAGCATTACATTTCAGCATCTTAAAGTCATCCTCTTCTAGTGTGAAGTAAGGCCATCTTTCCCTGCCATGTCCCAATCTCTGTGTTCTTGATAAGTCTGTCTCAGAAAGTCTTCCTGATTTGCAGAATTTTTTTATTTTTTATTTTTTTATTTTTTATTTTTCTTCTTCATATTTGAAGAAGTTTAGCTTTTGGATGGTTTAATGGTTTAACATTTGCTGTATATTTTATATTCTGAATCTGATGTGAATTTGTGTGTGTTTCTCCCTGGCTCAAAACGAATTATTTTCTGGACTATAAGCATGGCTAGGTCAGTCTTAGAAAAGCTTAGAAAAATAGGTTATCATGAAGAGAAACTACAAACTAACATTTGTGATTTAAGACAGAATTCTGCTTCCACTAAATCTGATTTATGTGTTTTGTTACTTGACTTATTATATAGGTGTTGTTATTCATTGTGTGAGGGAAGTTGCCTTATGTTTTGTAGTAGCTTAGAAATGCTGAAGATACTTGCATTACTTAGCATTAAATAGTAAATACTAGATTATATCAATTTGAAAGTTAGAATTCCTCATTTTGTTTATTTTGTACTTCTTATTGTACATGCACATATTGTTCCAGAGTCAGTATTTCACTTGCAGCTCAATATGACAACATTTCAGAAACTGATTTAAAACTCCACCTACTTGAATAAAAACAAAACAAAAACTGAAGCAAAACACCTCCTCTTCCATATGTTTATCCAATTTAGTTTTATTCAGGAATGCTTTCAAATGGCATAGAAGTTGTTCTGTCGTGAAACATCCTTGTGCCTAAGAATGCTGTCTTTTTTGGCAAAGAAAGTGAGCTTATTGTTTATTGCGGCATAAAAAAATAGGCAAAACAATATTTTAACTTGAACAAGGGACAGGAAAACTTCTGAATTGGATTTCTGATACTTTTTCATAGAAATTATGTCTTCAATTTGTATTTTGTTTTCTTTTCTAGATGGTGCTTTGATGAGACAGTAACACACTTCATCTACAAGGGAGGACAGAATGACAACAATAAGGAATACAAATCTGTTAAAGAACGGGGTATACATATTGTTTCAGAACACTGGCTTTTAGAGGTATGAAGCTTGTTTTGTTCCCTTTTTTAAAAGTGAAGGGAAATGGAGACTTAAAACCAGTTATATGGTAGTAGATTTTCTGTATGCATTTATCTTGACCATGTATGGGGACTGATGTTTTGTATCCTGCTTAGAACTAATAAATTGAGTGGCCTGTTTTCACTGATGCACTTTTACCTTGTTCTCCATGAGGAGAAAACAAATTTTTCTGTTAAGGTGTGAAATTTCTTTTTTCTAAATCAGTTCCTCATCTTTCTCTTATTAACTGATGTTATTACAGAGTGCCCAAGCATATAAACGGCTTCCTGAATCTCTCTTCCCTCACACTTACAATCCCAAAATGAGCCTGGACATCAGTACAGTGCAAGACACCAGGCTCTCCTCCTCCAGTAAACTTCCATCAACTGGAAACCCAGCAGAGGAAAATGAGGTATGATGTGTGATAAGAATTCATGTTCTTTGAAGTGATTTGGTTTACTTAATAGTTATATTAATATAATAATAAAAAACACTGATGCTTATTCAGCAATGTCCTGAATCAGGTTTGACTACTAGTTAATAGTAGCTATTGCAGATGTCCCTTAAGGTTTTTTTGCATTTGTAATATTCCTCTTCTAGGATGATGGAGGGATACACAGTCATTTCAGGAGCTGCTTTCCAAATTTGAGATGGTGTAGGTTCAGTCTTTGCCTCCTCTTGTAGGTAATGAAATCCAAAGTGTTAACTTCCATAGCAGACATTTAGACTGCAGAATAGGAGTTGTCACTGATGCTACTGTTCACTGTGTTAGCAGAAATATTAGATTTACTCTAAGGCAAGATTAATAATCTTCAGAATTTATAAAAGTGTGAAACATGGTTAAAAAGCAAAAAAATTTGGTATTTGAGAAATCAACTTGTCTTCATTGGCTTTAGATTATTCCAGTGGATGAAGATGATGCTGAAGGTGATATAATTACTGACCAAATAAAGGGAACAATCACTACAGGGGAAGAACAAAGTGTAAGCAGTGAATCCAAAGGAGGTAAATGTTTTCAAAATGTGTTCAGTTGTTCAAATGTTTTCAAAATGGTTTTGGAACATCGAACTATCAATATGAGCCTTTTACAGTTTCAGGTGCTGAGTGTTAAGATCTAGAAGCTTTAGGTACCATATTTACATACTGGTCAAGTACAGCTACTGTTGCTGGATGTGAGGGAAGAGTTTTCCTCTGTATTTTAAAGACTTTGACAGCCTGCAAGAAAATCATGATCATCCATTGCAAAGTACTTAATTGCTGGGTTTTTGTTTTTAAAACACTGAAGTTCATCTTTAACATGGCAAATTGCTGTTTTGGAGTATATGTTATGTAAATAAATGTGTTCCTGGAGAATTGTGGATCTAAGTTAGATCATGTGAGCAAATTCAGAAGTCCAGTTCAACCAAATGGAGATTTCTTCTTGTGCCTAAGAATGGGTGACTTGGGGCATACGTAGTTTTCCTAGATATTTTTTCCCAAGTATCTTTTCCTCTTCTTAATGTACAGTCTTTGTCCCAGTGCCAGGGGAAGTTGACTGGAATTCCAGTTTTCACTGAAACAGTGAACAGTTGTTCACTTTTCATATGTTGCAATATAACAGTTGTGATATTATGAGTTTTGTTCCTTCTCTTTAAGTTTTAACTCAAGCACTAGAAATGAGGGAGAACTTCCAAAGGCAGCTGCAGGAGATCATGTCTGCCACATCACTGGTGAAACCACAAGGGCAAAGAGGATCCCTTTCAAGGAGCAGTTTTGATGGTTCTCCAACCACTCCTGATAGCACACGGTCTGTGCGAAATGGCCGCAGTAGGGTCTTGGAAGCTCTAAGGTATTGGTTTGTGTTTCAAAGTTATCTTATTTTGTCCTCCCTGCACGTTTAGACATTAATTGAAACATGAATTGGTCTTCAGGATTTTCAAGTGTGTTATCTGTCTCTACTGATGTACTTGAGCTGCTTCTCTTACAATTCAGAATCTTTAACTGGATGTGCTAGATAAAGCCAGAACGTTGTCTTAATCCGTAGTGGGTACCTTTTTGTTTTTCAAAAAAATCACAGAATAGTATGATTGTTTTTTAGTTTTGAGTTGAATTATGCCAACAGGTTTATTTTCTTTTTGTTCATAATAATGTTCTTACAGATTTTGAAGAAAGCAGTGCTGCAATATTTCAGCATGTATGTCCTATACAAGTAGTAGGTATTCCTGCAAAGCACCTTTGTGAATGGTTCTTCTCTTTTATTTTTCTTTTCTCTCTAAACAGAGGATAGAATTTTTATTCTATCATGCTGAGGTACAGTAAGAAAGTAATGGAACTCTTGCAAAATTATTTGTGTAGCTTGGTGTTTATTTGCAAATAAATAGGCTCAGTAAAGAGTAAGGTACACTGATTTTTGTAATAACTTATTAATAAGCACATAATAAAAACAGCTACTGATATTCTGTGTGCCTTTTTTCAGCCAAGCTGACACTTGGGTTCACAAAGCCAGCATGCCAGAATAACTCTTATACTGAAATTTTCCCCTTTCCCAGCCATTCCAGTGACCGTGAAGTCACTTGGATGTTAGAGTTGATGTGATCATTAACACATTGCCTTGTAGAATGGGTATTTAAGGTACCTGTGCTTTTTTCTTTAGGCAATCCCGTCAGGCACTCGCGGATATAAACACAGAGCCATCCCAAAGTGAGCAGATTGTCTGGGATGATCCTACTGCAAGGGAGGAGAGAGCAAGACTTGTCAGCAACTTTCAGTGGCCTAATAGTTCTTCCCAGTACACTGAGCAAGGTCAGAGTAATGCCGATAAGAATGTGGATGAGTCTGCCCTCAGAGGATCTGTACCTGATGCAGAGATTGCTGGTATGGGTAAAATCAGAAATGCAATATCCTTGGTTCTTTGTGACAGCATCCATTTGATCTTTGAGACTTTTAAAATACAATTTTACATCTTTGAGCTCTATTATGTGTTGCTGTTTTTTAGAGAGAAGCTTTCCTGTCCATTTGTGGCCAAACGCCAAGGCAGTGCCTGTCTAAAAATAGACTGCCATGGTTCCAAAAAAAAGATCTTCATAAAATCTTCCAAAATTTTTTGGTGGTTTTTTTGGAACCACTGCTGGTTTCCAGGTAACACCCTAAATAGGTATAGTGGAATTCAAATGGGAATACCAGTAGCAAAATGTTTTTCATTGTAGTGGAAATATTCATAGGTGAAGAATGGGGGTATAGGAAGATAACTCACAGATCCAAAAAACGAGATGTGTTGAGTTGCTGGTGGACATGCTTGGGTCAGGACTCAGTGAAGATACTTTATCTATATTCCCTGTTCTTCTTGAAGTCTTAAGTCTACTGCTAAGACTAAGGAAGCAACATGCTTTTTCTGCCAAAACCAGGTGGTTTTTTATCTGTTTTTGCTTTCTTCCTGTTCCAAGATAATGGAATCCTTTACTTCTCTCTCCTCCCTTCCTCCCTCCTGCCACCAATCTACTTGTAGAGTTTCTGCTTGTGGCAATAGTCTTCCTGAAAACTGGCCCTTGTCCTACAGAGGGTTGAAGAAAATTACCTAAATGCATTCAATTGATTTTTTTTTTTCAACCAAACCAGTGCAGTTTAGCCAGAGAAATTAGGTCGTTTGAGGTTTTCAGGTTTTTTTCAAAGCAAGGCATCTGGGGACAGGAGTCTGCAATACTGCAGTTGGTGGTTTGTGGTATAAGGAAGAGCATCTTTATGAAAGGTAGTGGTGAAATATAACTGTATATGTTGTAGCAGCAGTTGTGGGGATTTTTATTTGTTTTTATTTTTTACTTTTTCCATAATTATATTCTTCCAAAGACAAGTCATGCAACAATGCTTTACTTTCACAGCTGTTCCTGAGGATGGCGATGGAGAGGTGATTGAAGATCTAAAGAATCCTGTATGTAGAGATCCTGAAACACCAATTAAAGATAACTTGATTCCCACTCCACAGGCCCCAACCATTGCTTTCCCACTGGCTAACCCTCCTGTGGCACCAGAGCCCAAAGAAAAGGTTTGTCATATGAAGAAATGTTTTTGATGATTTGTGTTCTGACAGATGTAGTGACACTTTAAGAAATTTTGAACTTGACAGTGAGTATAAAATAGGTGAATATCTGCATTTAAAATCTTGAAGTGGTTTACTTTTGTGCAGTACTATTTCTTTTTCCCCCTTTCTTCGAGATTTTGAACAAATAGTGTTTGCTCAAATAGATAAAGCTTGTTTGTTCAGACAAATAAAGGTTTTTGTCCTGTTAGTTTGTGCTGGAACACTAAGGTAGGCTTTGGAGTGAAGAGTTACTCTGTGTATTACTCGGAACTCCTCCAGCCACGTTAGGATGATGGAAGAAAGGTTAGGCCAAGGTTTCCTTGGTGGTATCTGGAATTTTATGTTTAGGTACAAATGGAAAATTATTTTTCTGCCAAAAACCTGGTTTAAAATTCTATTTTATTGTGAACTTGGAAAGGGAAAGGACAATGAGGTTAGTAGTTTGCCTGCAGTGCATCATCTAATGCTCAAACTTTAGGCAGCTCTATGTCTTCAAAGGCATAATGTGTCATGTTAGTGGAAAGGCCCTCAAAGAATATAGAATTCAGACTTCATGGAAACTCTGAATGAATGAGGCAGTGTGGTAGATCAGTGATGCTTTCCTCATGTGTTCAACCTGGCATTCGGTGGATGTGAATGGAAGATTAGTTTTTATGACAGATTGGTTCAGCTGTGCCCTGAAGAAAGGGAGAACCAAGAGGATGTTCAAGCAGGAGCCCAGGGATGATTTTATAATATCCAGTCTTTTTGTCAAGTGATTGACAGGTTTGATTCTGCTTTTCCCAACTAAAAGAAAACTTAATATAAAAATAACCCAGAATGTTTAGCAGAAACATAGTCAGCTGTCAACCTAATAGTTCTGTCATATTTTCAAAATCTGTTACTGTATTTCTAGGCTGTTACAGAAGATGAGAAGGCTGATGAAGAACCAGAAAAACACCGTAAATTTCAGCTGTCTTCTCTTAATCCTCAAGAAAGATTTGATTACTCCCATCTGATTGAGGAACTAGGTATCAGATATTTGTGAAATGCAAAGAATAGTATGTGTCTGCTCAGTTGTGGCTTGTTGGGGAAAAGAAAGGGCTTCTGTTTGTGACTCATCGGATTTGAGGTCTCAAATTTATGGCTTTCTGTGCCTGTGAGCGATTCTTTGAATATAGTATCATTATTATGCGAGTGATCAGCTTTGCCATAAAACAGCAATGGGTTTGTCTTCTGGCAGCTTTCTTATAGCTGTCTCCACAACAGCCTCATTCTTTAATGTTGGGAGTACCCAGGATCTGCTGTCCTCTGGTGTCTCCCATTCCTGTCTGTGTTGCAGTGGCACTTTACAGAGCCACTCTTTCCTAGCTGCTTCTCCTTCCTTGCCAGCTTCTGCCCATGTCATTTCAATTACAATACTTATAGTGTAAATTTGAGTTGAGTATATTTTTATCTGAATTCAGATAATTCTCACTTTGAGTTGATCCTTTCTGTGGTCAAGCATGACTCTTGGGTAATTTGAATCAAATTCATTCCTCATTTCAAGGTGGAATAGTACTTGAGAAGCAGTACTTTGATCCAAGTTGCACACACATTGTTGTGGGACATCCTCTTCGAAATGAAAAATTCTTGGCTTCGATGGCAGCTGGAAAGTGGGTGCTTCACCGTTCCTACCTGGAGGCATGTAGAGGAGCTGGCTGCTTTGTTCAGGCATGTGACCCTATTATTGAAACATTACTACATTGTGCCTTTTTGCATTTGTTCTTGTTTTGCGCTAGTAGGAAAAGACAACCTCTCAAAGCCAATTACCAGTTTATGGTGCCTGAGCCTGGGGAGTTTTAGAGAATCCAAAGTTAGGGAAGTTTTTGTCTGAAAACTAGTTCTGGACCAAACTCCTGATATAAGATAATTGAAATACCTATACTTTTTATAGTTGCTTTTGAAAATTGAGGTTTTGAGTACTTTTTGGTAAATTCTCACTGGTATCAGCTAAATTTACATGGATTTTGTTACACCAGGAATTAAATGCTGATCCTTTCAATAAATGAACATATATTAGTTTTAAATAATCTGACTCTATGACCACGCGCATAAACATTTTTGAACGCTAGTTCTTCAGACTCCTCACTTCCCTGTTATTTTTGTTGGGTCAAGCAGTTCTTTTACATTGACCAGGTGAACTTTGAAATAATGCCAGTAGACTGTTCATATCTTTATGTAGCAAAACCAACTTTCATTCTTTTAGAAGACACTGCAGAAGTAAAAAGTCAGTGGTGTGCAGTGTAGTGAGTTGCTTTGCCCTGCTGTTGAATTCCGTTGTAGGTAACTGCAATGGGAATCTGGTTGTGTACATGATTTGATGTTGCAGAAAATGTGAGTTGATTTAGATACATACGTGCAATTAAGAGCCGTATCTCCAATTTTACCTAGAGCTGTTTTGGCCAAATAAAATCCATATATAAAGCTAGAGTGAGATGGGATTTGTTCTGGGTTTTTTTGTTGGTTTTGTTTTGTTGGTTTTTTGGGGGAGGGTTCTGTTTGGTGTGGATTTTTTAAATCTATTTTTCTGCTGGTAAAGTTGGCAGGAATGCTTTGTTTGAAGCTTATGCTTGTTCCAGGAAGAAGATTACGAGTGGGGAAGTAATTCCATACTTAATGTTTTGCCTGCAATCAATGTAAACCAGAAGAAACTAGCACTGGCAGCCATGAGGTGGAGGAAAAGAATTCATAAAGGGAGGCAAGAAACGGGCATTGTTGAGGTATATAGATACTCCTGTAATGTAAGTGGTACAATGTGGGTGGACAGGACAGGGATTGTCACCAAGAAACTTGGAAACTTAACTGGCAGGGGAAGGTAACCTGTCTTGTTATCAAGATCAAAATGTCTTGCCTGAATATATTCTAGTTAAGTAATTTTCGTTTTCTTTTTTAAACTTTCTATGCTGGTGTATTAAATTCTTAATCTCCTCCTGAACCATTTTTCATGTTTTGCAAAGCTGGAATGTGGCTACTTATGTATGTAAACGTCCCTCAGCCAGGAAGATGATATTTATACTTCAGAGCTCTGACTGAGAAGCCAACCTCACTGAGCTTTATGAGGAAACCACAACTGGTACTGGTACCTTTCCTAAAGCACCTTCTGTGATTTTCGTGATGCAAGTTCCATAATCTTTCAGTGAGATTTTTGGAAGTGGGACTTGAACTCCCCAAATTAACTCTTCTCTCAAATCAGGCATTGCAGTTGAGCATTCATTGGAAGGTGTTATTTTAGTTATATCAGGATAAATCTTGACTTGCGTGGGTTTTACAGTAATCTTTTTTAAACGAATGCTTGTAGCAAATCCTGCCTACCTCTTTGCCTACTTGGAAACCACAGTGAGTGTTTGTAGGAGGCAACCACTTGGCCTTCAGTGCTGTTACTGTAACCAAGTGCATGGTGGGGGAACAGGGAGAAATGTTTCCAAGTAATTTTTTTTTTAAGGTAAGTTTCTATAAATGAGTGTCTAGTGTTCTGGAAAACATACTAATTGCCAAGGGTTTTTTCATAGATTGGTTTGCTCATCTTGCTGTGCAGGCTGTGAGAGGGTTTGGTGGCAGGCTGCCTGACTGTGGCCCAATAGCTGTATGTTCTGTGAATTTTTTTTCTGACATTTACACTTAAAGACAAAACTAGGTAATTGCAAGTCTTTATCTGATGGATATTCTCAAAAGGGACAAATTATAGATCCATTAAGTCTTTGTACTTTATCAGTACCAGCACTTTTGACTAAATTGTCTTTTCTCTAGGGAGCTTTCAGTGGCTGGAAAGTGATCCTGAATGTTGACCAAACCAAGGAAGCAGGATTCAGGCGCCTTCTTCAGTCAGGAGGAGCACAAGTATGTAGTTGTTTGAAAAAAATAATGAAATATATGTGTGTTTCTTTAATTGTTTTTTTTTTTCTTTCTGTTAAACTGTGCTGGCATTTTTCACATGAGTAAAAGGTCTTCATGAACTAAACTGCTTACACAGGGTAGCTGAGACATGGTCAAAGGTTAGGAGGAAAAAGCTATGTCATCTTCCCTTTGGAAGTGGTCAGGCAGAGCAGCTTGTCTGAGGTAACACAAGTTAGTAGTCCTGGTGGGAATTAGGGATAGAATTTCTGTGCCCTGCTCTTATGAGAAGGATCACTCTTCTGGGAAGGTATGTGATGGTACAGAATGCAGCTGTAAATGGTATTTTATTTCCCATTGATTTCAAGTTAATTTGATGAGTGAAATTAAAGGTCATGGACTGCATTTGTCTTGGGGAAGAAACAAAACTAAACTCGTTTTTGTCTGTCATGTTTTGTCTGTAGGTGTTTTCTGGTCATTCTGTATCTCTCTTTAAAGAAGCGACTCATCTCTTTGCTGACTTCAATAAGCTGAAGCCAGATGACACCAGGGTTAATGTAGCAGAGGCAGCAGCCCAAGGAGTGAACTGCCTGAAGCCGGAGTACATCGCTGACTACCTCATCCAGGTGTGCATGCCTGAGGGCGCTCCCCAGGACCCCACAGGCCTCCCTCAGACCCAGCCCCCTGAATCCAGTCACGTGCCTCCTTTGCCAGGAATTGTGGCCACAGAGTGCCTATACTGAGGGCTTTGATCTGTGGCCTCAAATTTAACTGCTGTAGCATGTTCTGGTGCTGGCAGTGGGATCTGTTGCAGGGTATGAAACTGCTCACAAAACATATTCAAAATGTTAGGTGTGCAATGTTCATTTTGTTATCTTCAGTTTTAGGCAACTAATGAGCTGTTTCTTTCTTCTCAGAAGCTTCTTGAACTAACCCACTCATTTTTCCTTCTTCTGTTGAAGGATCCACCTCCCCCTGTGGATTCTTACTGCCTGCCGGAAGCTGAGTCTCACCTTCAGAATAACACAGCTCTTGGAACTGGATTATCTCAGAAAAGAAAAGCAACAGGAGAAATGAGCAGAGTCAAGCGATCCAGAATACACTGAGCAAATTCTCTGTTCTTAATTTGTATATTTTTAAATTCATATTTATATTTTTTCATTCTCATCAGAAAAATTAAAAGCTTTGAGTTTCACTTCTAATTTGTCCTGAGATTAAAATATCTTTACAGTAATACTCATAGGAGAGATTGCTTTGGTTACTGGTAGCATCTAAAAATGTGGCAAGAACTCATCCAAAAAATTCTTTACCTCATAAATGTCCAAACTGTCCCACTAATGATTTTGTTTGGGGACACCATTGTATAATAATAGTTAAGAAATACTTTGTAAGATGCTTATCTTATCTGCTGTCCTGAGTGCTAATGAATCTGCTCAACAAACTCTGTTATCCAAGAGGTGAAGTTTGTCTGACCATGCTCCCTGTTTGAGTATGTGGCAGAAACCAGAGACTTCTGTTTCCGGCGGCTGGAAATGTTCTTAGTCAGACAACTACAATATTTGACAAAGTATTTGACCTTTCAGTAACTGTGGGGCCTGGGTCTCTATTTACTGGACTTAGTGTCTGTGAGTGCACTGAATTAGTCTGTGCTCATGCAATCTGAAGAGCTGTATTTAAGCAGCTGGGATTGCCACAGTGTGTTTGAGCAGAAAAGCGCGGCATCCAAATGCACAGGACCAGTGGAGTTGTCTCGGAAAATATAAGTAACAGTTGAAGTCTATTTAATTTGTCTCTTCCTTGTTTTGAAGGCAGGGGGTGTACTCTACTTTTATTTTCTAGCTGCTGAATATCGTTTTCTAGAAAGTCTTTGCACCAGTATCTGTCGAAGATCCAAGACCAAGCCACAAGCATCTAAGCCCTGCGCTTTAACCCGGAAAATCATTCTAGGCTGGGGAGAACTAACCCTTTGCTGCTGGGGGAAGGGACGAGGGACCTGAGCTGTGAGTCTCCAGGTGAGAGAGAATAGGAGGGCAGCTTGTCTTTGTGTGCAAGGCTGTACTTCCTGCTTCTGCTTCCTGCTTCAGTGCAGCGGATGTTTTGTCAGTGACCTCTGAAACTCACTGTCAGGATGACCTGAAGGAATTGTCAGGAAGGACTGCAAATGAATTGGAGGGATTAGATTCTTTTTAAAAAGTGAAATCTGTGCCCCAATCAGTGGAGGCAAGATTGCTGTGGCAAGATTGCCATGTTGAGTTGCAGTGACTACAGTCTTATCACCTGATTTGGTTTTTTTGCTCATAACAGCTTGATGCTTTTTGTTATTTGTGGATGTCAAACATCTGACTTGTTTCAAATCCAGTAATGGACTGAAAATAATGCTGCTATTAATGCCTTATATCATGTTTTGAATTAGCTTTAAATTAACTTTGAATTAACTGTATTTCACGTATTTCACTCAGTTCTACCTCTGAAATGCTGCTTTGCATTGCAGGCATTTTAAATAGGTGTGAATATTACCAGGCAACACCTAAGGTTTCTGTGATTTTTTCTTCCCAGTCCCCAGAAGCTGCTGTGTAAGGGTGATGCTGCTATTCTCACTTTACAGATAAAAAAATCACTCCCTGAGCCACTTAGCGAAGCTTTAAAGAAGTCTTGGAGAAACACAGTTCCTGCAGCTGTTGTGAATCCTGGGGGCGGGGCAGAAGGGGAGTAGCTAAAATCAGCCACATACCAACCCCCAGTGGAACCAGTAACCTGGAATCTGAGCATTACCTGTTCTCCAGTGTGCACTGTCCTGGTGGACACTGGTTTTAACTTAGGGGGGGATGCAGGAGGACAGGGAGGGAGCACTGGGGGAACAAAGGCAGAAAGGAGCTGTTCCAGCTGGAGCCAGCCCCTCTTCTGCCTTGAGCCTCTAATCCAGCATACTGCTGTCTGTATGTCACACAGAGATGAACACAATAAAAGCAAGACAAACTTGGGAGGTATAAATTCAGTTGGTGCTGTTAAGATAAATTTATTTTCTTCAGCTTTCTTCACAGGAAACATCACAAAAGTGCTTTACAGAGTTTGATACCATCACATGGGACAAAAGGACAACAACAGGTGTGTGCACTGCACAGTTAGAAGTTGTCATATGCAGAAGCCATGATAGGTAAACCAGGGTAAAAAAAATCTACTGACAAAAAATAGATATATATAGTTCAGGTTTTGAACTTAATTTATGACTATAAACTTAATTATATAAATATACAGGCACCATTAGGTTCCTGTGTTAACTGTGGGGTCCGCACAGGGCTTCTCAGAAAGATCATATTGTACTCTACTTTGCTGAAACAGTTTCTGCTGTGCTCCATGGGCTCCCAGCCAAACCATTTTCCCAGCCAGGCAGTATCATTTTGCAGTACAATAAGCACTCAAATGGCTTTATCTTCATTTCTTCATGTGAAGTCTGGTGGTGAGACATTCTGGTACATTGCTGAAAGCAAATTCAGTTTGTTTGTTTGTTTTTTCCCACTTACAGATGTCCTATTACTATACTTCCTTCAGTCATCTCTTCATTAAAAAAAAATTAAAATGCTTTAGGCTAGACCCTGCTGTCCAGGTAAGACAGTTTTGTTTAAGCTAGCACGTTACCAGTCATGCAACCCTACTTCTTTCCACAGCTGAGCTGTGCTATACTGTGAGTGGCGCTACTGCCTTCATTTTGCTGTATTCAGTGGGAATGGGGCTCCCATGTAGCCTCTGAGGCTCTAGGTTTCAATTCTTCAGGGAGATTTAGCATTTACTTGCAAGGCAATTTTGCAATGTTTGTGATACTACAACCCTGGCAGAAGAAATGCAGCATGATAGAGACTCAGGAGTTCTTGCCTGCTGCTTTCTAAATAAGTGGTGAATAATTCAGGCACCTAAGAAATCCTTGGCATGGTAATAATGTAGATGAACAGAAGGAGGGAATACCCTAGGGTGAAGAGAGGTCAAATCAGATTTTTGCTGGGTTTTGAGTTGCAGGGAAAAAATGAGCAGAACCAATCACCTAGAAAACACTGTTGTGCCAGTCTGCCTTTTACCTCATCCCCAGATTAAAGACACAGTGCATGGTCAAAGAATTTGTCAGTCCTGAAGGTTACTGGGGGGTTAGTAATTAACATGATACGGAATTACAGTGGCAAGACGGGGCTTTGGTGAGTGTAGCAGCAGAGATAAGTCTCTTAGAGGTGTGGGAGAGGGTACAAAGTACTACATTCTAACAACTATCAGATTCATCAGCTCTATTTTCCCTCCGCACTTCCTCAAAAACCAAAAAAAACCCCAACCCTCAACACCTATTTGCCAACTTAATAAACCCCCAGCATCCACAACTGGTTTTTGACAGAATACTAGTAACTGCTGTAATAGAACACCTACAGACACAGTTATTTGGATGCAAAATCCAAGGTACATTCTTCTCAACCAGTACTGGAAAGCAGCTGTTCTCTAGGATATGCTTCTCTGATATTGAGACACTGGCAGGCTATGCATCTAAACAGGCTTGAGTCTGCCCTGACAACACCTCCTTTGTATCTATAAATGTAACATGACTGGTAAATGCAGTCAGTGCTTAGAGACTGAACACTACTTACAGCTGCATGCTCTCTAAAGCACAAGGTGAGAATGAAGATATGAAACAAACCACAAAGACTAAGCCTGCCCTCCAGTGTTGCTTCATCTCAAATATTGTAATCTAGTTTCAATGTCCAGTTGAATACTACAGCAGGTAGATTAAGCATGGCTGAGCCCAGCTGGTTGCTGGCCAGAGCCCAAGTAATACATCTGCTTCATCTCTGCCACAAGGAGGAGAATAGCCCAGAAATTAAAAACAAGTTTGCTACAGGCCTTGTTCACTTGCACTTGATAGCTGCTCAACCCAGACTTCAAGTTACATGATCTCAAATAAAGGTTTAATGAAACCGACTTCATGACAAATAACTCCATTGAAACCAATGAAGTTAAGCTCTGGGAGACCAGATTTGTATATGTTTTACCTCTTTCTCAATACATTTTTTCTCTTGTATCAGCCTGTTTTTATGATTTGAATAATTTTGCTATGGTTGTACATACTCTGAAAGAGATACAGAATAAGTGATTTGTTTTAATTTAAAAAAGGAAGCTTATGACAACATCTTAACTAACAGTTTTCTGTAGGCAAGTCATTTGAAATAAAGCAAACTGTTACAACTCAATGACTTCATTGCTGTAACTGAGCTAGAAAGAAAATCCAATACAGAAGACAGGAGACAGGAAAAGGAACAGAAAAGGTCAGATTGAGTAAAAATTAGTAAGAGCTTGCCATGCTAATCACTGGCGAGAAGAGTGAATTATGTACACAAAACTGAAGATTTCAGTACATCAGATGGCAAAAGCCAATCCCCATAGAAGTTATTAGGTTGATGGTGATTGCCAGGATACTCTAACTAACTCTGTAAACTTGGCAATTAAGGGGCAAGTGAATGTCAATAGAATATAAACCCAAGGCAATGAATACTGGAAAGGTTTAAAACCACTCATACATGCTCTGGTAGATTCTGAGTTAGCTGTGATCTTTCAGGGGGACGATCTAGGCATCACCATGGACAGCTTGATGAAGACATCTGCTCAATGTGTAGTTGCAGTCAAGAAAGCGAGTAAGATGTTAGGCTGTATTAAAGACAGAACAATATGGAAAAATATTACAGCATCTATTTGTCTTAGAGGTCCTCAATGAATATTTGCTCTTTCATCAGCAACTTAAAAAAAAGTGGCATATTAGAAAGATACAGGGAGTAAAAGGGTGAGAGAATGGTAGAAGCAGCTCTTTGTAGCTGGGAAGACAGTAAGACCAAGGTAGTTCATTTAAGAGGGGAATAGATGATAAACATCTTAAAAGTAATTCTCCTTCCCACTGTATAACAAGATATCACCTCAAAGTCATTTTAAGCTGCCTACCAATATGTTGACCTGAATATCACTCGTTACCACCATAATTATTCAAAAAAGCCCCCGTGTTATTCTTTGGTGCTTATTATTCAGCTAGTTACACCTTTCCTCTGAAGCAACTGCTATAGTTTGTTGAAATTTAACAGTAATAAATTCTGACAGAGAATTGTCACAGCTGATGCACATGAACAACTGACTTAGAGGTACTGCAATGATAAAAATATCAGTAGGAGAAGAGAGCTGCTGGGCCTCATCTCTGTCCTGGACCCACCAGAGCTCTAATTTTTCTGCATGCAGGCCACCATCGTGTTCTCTGCTTCTATTTGAGGGCCCACTGTAAAAGCTGAGCAATGAACCTTGAAATCACCAGCAACAGCAGACAAGGGCACATTCATTAGTTACTTCTTCATGTTTCTTCAGCTGCAGTTAACTGATGAAC